TGGCCAACATCTGTCCTGATTGGTCAGTGACCACGTCACATGTTTTTAAGCATTTTAGCACTCACTCCTGCTTAGAGTAATTAAGTTACCTGCCCAAGTTCACACAGAATTCAGAATTCCTGGACTCAGAACCCAAACCCAGGACTGACACCAGAGCCCACGTCCCTCGTGGCTTCTGAGGACCCTCACGTTAGTACATGGGAGCCCCCTGAGGGAGGCCTGGATCCAGAGGGATCCGGGAGTGTGTGTGCTGGCAGTGGGAGAGCCTACCCTGCCCAGGAAGTTAGGATAAGGAGGAGTGGGGGCAGCTGCAGGCAGGGTAGCAGTTCACTCAGTCTTCATTCAACAGGCAGTTGTTCCTGTACCAGGCACAGTCAATACATGCTCAACCAGGGGTCTGTTGGCCTCCAGGAGCCTACTGTCTAATGGGAGACAGACATACACACAAAACAGACCTCTCCAGAGAGGAGGGCTCTCTGGGGCTGGCACTGGAGGGCAGCCTCCCAGCATCCCAGACATCTGGACCAGCAGGAGTCCCGGCCCCAGGGCCAGCTGACTCCATCCCAACAGTCCCAATGTCAGGAGCCCAGTGTCAGGGGTTTCCAGGAGCTCGGCCCCTGACTGGGGTCTGGAGCTGGGCTGGGAGGTCCAGTTCTTCACCACACAGCTCTGGTCCCCTGAGGCCACCTCCAGCTCCAGGAGGAGGGGGAGATGCTGGCCAAGTGGGACACCCTTCAAAGTCTTCCCCAGAATCAGGGTCCACTCTGTGGGCTAGCACAAAGACCCCTCTTAGGCTGACCCCGGGCTGCCCCTCCAGCCAGTTCCCCTAACATGCGAGGCTCCTCTGTGCCCATGTGTTCTCTCTGCCTGGGACATGCTTCCCACACCTTCCTCAACACCACCCTTCAACACTCAAGGGTGTTGAACTCGCAGCAGCCTTCAACACTCAAGGCAAGCATGCCCTTCGCAGGGAAACCTGATCTAACCTGTTTAGAGGCCCTGCCCTGTGTTCCCTCTGCCCCCACTTCCTGACCCCCTCTGACAGCACACTCCTCATTGTTGACTAATTTTTCTGTCTTCTCACATCAGGCTTTACACTCCTTGATGGCAGGGATCTTGTTTTAATCAGCATTTGTATCCTCAGCACGAGGACGAGCCAGGCCCCTGATGAGTGTTCAGTACCTATTTGAATGAGTAACTAAATGAATGAGCGAGTGAACAATTAAATGAAGTAACCCCTTTGTCCCCTCTCTTTACACACTGAGAATACATTTTCAGGTATCCGGAGAAAACAATTAAAAGGTCTGCTATCAATCATTTTCACCACAGTAAAAATGAATCCCTGTGTTCCCACTCCCAAGGGGATTTGTACATCAAGTTTTTCCCTTATTTTAGGCGATTTCTGATATAAGTAAGCTGGTGGAAGGGCATGTTGGAGGAAAAGTCTTCCCAGCCCAGATGAAACCAACTGTAGTGGAGGTCACAGCCACGTGGATCTCTGAAGCCTGCCCTGTGGTAAAACTTGAGTACCTCCATGACTGAGCTGGAAGACCCCCAATCCCCAAGTCCCAGAATCCGCAAACTCTAACCCCTAGACCAAGGAGGAAGTCATGTGCACTGGGAACAGCCAACGTTTGGAGCTGGAAGATCTAGAATTCCAGCAGTGAGCGATTCTGTGTTTTCTCCCAGCCTCACTGTCCTCATTTGTAAAAATGGAGACACCGCATAGCTGTGTGAGCACTGCCTGTCAGAAAGCTTTGCATGCAGTACCCATGGGAGATGCTCTGCCCACTCACCCCACCCACTGCACAGAGAGGGGTGGTCCCCACACACACGGACTCCAACCCAAGGACAGATAGCCTCGTGGTGGGAGCCATTCTAAACCATCCATTGGCCCAAAGCCAACGTGCTTTGGGCTCACACGGTGCCTTAGAGTCGGGGTCACTCTCAATCCTTCATTCTCCTTGACACTGTCATTCTTCTGTAGGTTTTGGAGGGAAAGATAATATTCTCCACTTTTTTTGCATATGGCTCCCCTCCCTCCCTCCTGCTCCTTCCCCAACCCACTCCTAGGAGGATGACTTCCTTGTTACTCTATGTGTCCGTGGTTGCTAGATAGATGCTCTGACTAAGGCTGAGTCGATCAAAAGTCACCGCTAAGACTAAAATGATGAAGATGGGGTGGCAAAGGGTCCTGATAGGATCCAGAGTCTCACAGGACTCACTCCACGGCACCCACCACCTCAGCACTGCTGTATGATGGCACAGCAAGTATCTCCAGTCTAAAAGTCATAGGAAGTAAGCTTGACCCATAGATTTTTGAATCAATTTCTTTGAGGAAAGCACAGTGTCCTGGGTGGTAGTGTCAGTCACATAGAGAAGAAAGCCAAGCACAGGGTTGTACTGTGGAAGCGACCCTCTTTGGAAATGGACTGGAATGAGCCTGCAAGGCTGGTAAACTAGATGGCCAAGGTAGGATGGGAAGCCAGCCCTTGGAAAAGCCAGATGTCTTCATGACTCCTACAGTCTATTTCCTCTGGTTCTCCTTTAGGATTTCTTACTATCATCATCACAGCTCATTTCCACTGCAGTAGAGGGTAATCAAGAAAAGTATATGGACTCAAGCAGGGGCAAAATCTACAGAGAAATGAGGCACTGGGAATCAGAATGTGAAAACCCCAAAGGGGATGAAAATCTTGGGACTACTCGGGTGGCCACTGGGACAGCCCCTTCCTCCCTACCCTGAGCTCTTTTCTGCTTAACCCCCAGAGGGTCCAGTTTTCACAACATTACCGGCCTGTGTTCTTGCCTCCCACTCTGAATTCCTCCTAATTACGTGCTGGGCCGCGAACACTGTCAGGGCTTTCATATGTCTTGCAAGGCGCAAACGTTAGAGAATGCTGCAGTATTTCATTTTCCAGTCTCCAAAGGAAAGTCCGTCATCCAAATCCCTCCAGTCTTCCTAAACTGAACACTTCATTCACGTGAAAAAGGTCATTTTCAGTGTGATGAAGTGAGGTGAGTGTCAATCAGACAATACTACATTAAGGATTTTTTTCCCTTCCTAAAAGCCACCTAATTTTTTCCCTCTAGTATTTGCTATGAAAAGATTTAGTAGCTAATGTGCCATCTGACTTTTTTCCAGGACACTGCCCTACGTCAGGAGACTTTTTTCCTTTCTTTTTTTCTTTTCAGAATCAGCCCAACTTAATTGGTTTGCCACTAATTACTTTTTTCCTATATAGATATTATTTTCCCTCATATCCTCACTTAGCTCCTACTAATAAGCTTTCAAGTGACACACCATCCCTCCAACCCAGTCACACAATTTAGAATCTGTGGAAGCCGTTTACAAGAGAAGGTTCCCTCTTCTCTCTGTGAAGGGCCAAACTGCTCCACGTTTCATTCTAGCTTCTCGGTTAAAGGGCTCCATCCCCTTCCCAAACCTCGTGATGAGCCTCTAAACGGCAGAAACTCCCATGGGGGTGCAGCCTGCACAGCGTGGTCGGATTACCACCCCAGCTTATTAATTTGCCTGACTACTGCTCAGGAGACGAAAAAATAAAGGGACTAAAAGCATATTCATCATCCTCACTGAGCTGTGGGATGAAATACTTATTCTGAAAATAATGATTCCAGGTAGGAGGGCAGTGAAAAGGGGGGGCCTGTGAGAAGCAAGTGTTTTATTACACAGTTTCTAAAATGTGAGCACTTAATGCTCTTTCATTATCATATATTATTACGGTTCTATAAAAATCGTTTTTAGGAATCAATCCCAAAGTTCTGAAGCCCCCCCCCCAAAAGAGCTAGAAGGCAGAATTTGGAAGAAGCCCTATAAACAGAGAAATGATACTTTAGACTCTACGTGTTAAGACTTATGTTGGCAGAATCCACACACAAGACTTTGTCCGCCCTGTGTGAACAATGCAGTGACTCTCATGCCATCACTTCAAAAGATGGTAAGTTTTTTATAAAAGAGAGAAGATGGGTATGAGTTTCCTATTTTTCAGATAGGAAAACTGAGGCTCCGAAAGCACAAGTGAAATTCCTTTAAGTGAAAGCCAGCAAGCAGTGATGGTGCTGGAAAGAAAAATCCATCTATTTTGATTTACAGTTCCACTATTTCTCCACTGGATGCTCAGCCCATTTGGGGAGCATCTCCACCCAACCCTACTCAATCTCCCTTGGTATTTCCACTCCCTTCATTGGGATCTGGGTTTTCATCCCAGGGAATGCATTAACTTGCAAATGTATTACTTGCTGATCACTCTGGCACAGAAAACATCAAGAGGCTTTTGACCCTTGCTCACCCATTGGGATGAAGACCTGGAGACAAAGGAGTCAAGTGAAATTGATGGGGAGCTCCTAGGCCCTTACAAACATCCCCGTGCCAAAGGAGAACCAGTTACAGATTCCATCTGAGCTTCAAAATATCACCAAACTGAGGTAAAGCCAGTGGAGCTAATAGCCCTTAAGTCCACGTGGGGAGGTGACGATGCTTCCACACGTGTAACGGACCTTGACAACTACAAGCATTTCATAGACTCTTTTGCACTCATTCTTCAGAAAAAGCCCACCGCACGGCAAGGTACTCTGAGGGGATTCTCCAGTGCAGTGTTTCTCAAACTCAATTGTGCACAGGAATCTGGGGATCTGTTGAAATCCAGACCCTGATTCAGTAGGTCTGGGGTGAGCCTGGGGCTCCGCATTTCTAAAAAGCCACCAGGCAATGTTGATTCTGCTGCTCCCAGGTCCACACTTCGAATAGCCGAAAAGCCCCAGGACACGGTTTGATAAACCACAATTCTAAGGAGTGAAAAGGCAATAGCAATGAATAACTCACTGGCGATGGGGCTCAAATGGAGTAATAACCCACTGAAGACATTTCCTATATTTACTCTTTTACTGGCAGGTGTTTTACTGACACCTGGCAGGGTGAACCACACAGGCAAAAAGGCTCTGAAGGAGCCCAGGAAAGGAGTGAAACAAGATATACTCACTGGAGAAGCAGGCAAGTGGTCTGGCAGTCTTATCTCCGGCTTCATTTGCAACTGGAAAAAAAAAAAAAAACGGAAGATACGATTAAGAGCAAGGCACATGTGTCCGTAGAATATGCCCAACCTACAGCGAATCCTCTGGATGATTCACTATTACGCTGTTTTTGAGAGTCTTTGTAAGAGGATAAAAGCAACTTCTCTCCCTCTCTTTCTATATTTCCAGTGCTGCTCTCAATGTCTAAACGAGGTCAAGAGCCTCAATCATTCTGATTAGAATAGTGAATTAAGCTGGAGACGACCTAAACAATACCTAGTTTACTAGGCTTACAGGAGTTAACTGGCTTGCATGCACTGAGTAAGAGGCATGCACACCAGGCTTCAAAGCCAGTGCACACCCTTCTGCTTTAAGCTTCCTCTCACCGGGATGTCCTTCAGCACACAAACGCACCCCAACCACCTGACATCAGTCTGATTTTCTTGGTCCACGGCGCAAAGCAAGGCAGGGATTTCAGAAGATAGTAAGGTTGGTTATTGTTAAGAAGGATATTTAAATTCAGAGTCTAACAAATAGGAGGATGGAGAAAATTGTCTGGAGAGCTGCCCTAGAAAACCTCACCCCTAACGCTTCTCAGCAGGGTCGTTCACCCTCCTCTGAAAAGCCTCTATATAATTTATCATCTTGATTAGGGTCATAATTACTATCCCCTATATTTATGAACACCATCTTCATGGATAAAAAAGATATCAACTGTTAAATTGAAACACAAGTTTCATCCCCTTTAAATATCACTTTTAATGCCCATAATGACTATAACCTTGGGTGTTTTGTAGACATTCGTGATCAAGTTTAATGAACATTCAGAGCAATCAACTGGAAAAACCTGTTCATTTTAGTTGAGGAAAGAACATCCAATACATATGCAGAATAAAGGAGATCGCCGATGTAATCGTTAAAATCATCCTCATCTATGAGAATTTGCAGTACAGGACAAAAGAAATAACTGCTTCAGAAACGTATTACATCATTTTGCAAAGAATGGGAGTCAAAAAATTCCTTTCACCCTTTCAAAGGGGTGAAAAATTTTAAATTTACCATAATTTTTTTAATTAATGAATTTAATCTCAGTCTACTTTGTGCTTCTGTCATTTGCATTGCCCCACTGTCTGCACTCTCTGTATGTATTACAAACAAGACATTATACAAAACAACCAGCAGGGGGCGGTGACATTGCATCCTGCTCCCATTATCCCTCACACCCCAGCATTTTGGAAAGAAAGAGAGAGAGAAATGGAGAGTGGAAGACAGAGAGGGAGGGCAGGAGAACGGAGCAAGACCTAGCTGGCTATTGACGTGAGTTTCCCGGCCTTGGGTTCAAATCGTTTCCTCTTTGGACACTACAGATCTCTAAAGAAAGAAATAGAGCAAGGTTATGCTTGCTGCAGAAACTGACGGGTTGCTTTTAAAGTAGGAATATGAAGACCATCGCCATTGCTGAGAACACCAGCAAGCACTAAAATGTTCAGCTTGGAGAGCGCGTGTTTTCCCTGAGGGAAGAAAGAGGGGTGGTCGTGACACCGTCACAGTTTCACACGCAGCCATGGCTGCTTCCTCACCCACAGGCTTTTTCCTCCCTTCCCGCCACCCTATCCAAGGGTGGGAATTGCTGACCCAGATCCAAGTCACGCCAGGAGAGGCAGGAATCAAGATCTAGGCCAGTGAGAGCTGTCTCCACCCAGAAGGAATGTGAACCCTGCTACCAGCATTATTTTCCTAAATGCAGACCCAGTGCCCCAAGGTCTCCCATGATGTCCCAACATCTACAAGATGCAATCCAGCTAACCTGACCTAGTACTGAAAACCTGGCACCACCTAGTCTTCTCAGCTCACTGTATTTCCCAGCGCTTCCTTCAGGGCCCAGCCACACGCTCTAAATGGACAAATCCCAAACACGCCCTACATACTCTGTCCTCTTTGCTACTGCTCCTTTGCCCCCTCCCCTCTACATACCCCTCCCCACTGCTTCACTCCGGCTCATCCTTTAAGATTCAGAAGGAGCCGTTCATTTCTGAAAAGCTCCCCTGGCTTCCAGCACGGCTCCTGCAGTCCACAGACCTCTGCCCGTGCTCCGCACACCCCGCGCAGACCAGTGCTTCTCAAGCTTCAGTGGTGAGACCGGCAATGCCCCGCGCAGGCACCAGAGTTACCAGGAAGGTTTGTTAAAATAAATTGCAGAGTTTTTTAAAATGCAAGTTCTGATTCAGTGGGTCTGGGATGGGGCCCGAGAGTTTGCACTTCTAACAAGTTTCCAGGTGATACTGAGAATGCACGTCTGGTGGTGGGGGGGGCATATTTTGAGAACAGCTGCTCTAAACTATAAATTACCCCACCCGAGACAAGGATCATAACTTTTCATCTTTTTGTTTCCAATCTTTCAAACAGTGACTGGCACGCAGAATAATGCATTCCGTCAATATTTTTAGAACTGAATGAAGTGGACTGAAATTCATACCAGGTGCCACAGATGGCTCCGTAGGGAGAGCCCTCAGATTGGCTTCCAGAGGACTCTAAAAAGCTCCAGGTGTGTTCTGCTTGGCCCCTACAATGTCTTTAATTTTTAAACAATTAGTTGTCTGCATTTAAAAATCAAGAGGTTTCAAATATAAATGCAGATTGTCAGCTTCTCTCAATAACTGAGTAACCATCCAGACCCATGGGCCAGCAATGGGTCACCACTGAGACGCCCCCTATGGGTGAGTCCGGCTCCTGGATGTTCGGGAGGCAGCTCTTTGCTGACTGGCGTGGGCTTTCTATACCCTTGGCGTGGGTCCAGACGGCAGGTGAAAACAGGACCTCTTAAAGGTCTTAAAGAATGAAACTGAGACTCAACAGAGACCAGCACAACAAGGAGTGGTTGTGGCCCAGCTTGCTAAGCCCCTCTGTTCCGAGCCCACAAACTGCCCCAATATGTTCGATGGTCCACCAGCACAATGCTGGCCGCGGCTCGGACACACGGGGGCTTCTAGACCAGCAGAGGGGCTTTCCTACACTGCTGTTTGCCTTTTATTTAAAAAAAAAAATATCTAGCAAGCGTCAACAATGAAGTAGATGTTCCATTTATCAAGTGCAATTAGAGCTTGAATTTGGCAAGATCTCATAAAAATGATTCTGTAGATTTAAGGAAAGTTAACCATTTAAGGAAAGTTATTATGTAGATTTACCGAAAAGATGTGTTGGGTATAACACGTAGACCGGTATGTATTATTAATTCCATTGGTGTTGAACTGTATATCTCGGCTGCGTGTGTATTTAGCCACAGAGAAATGAGCGGAAGGATGTGCACCAGATATATTAACAGTTATTTCTTCCGTGTGCTGGCATTTGGGGAGATTATCAGCCTTTTTTATACTTTTCTACATAAACCCAACAGTTGGATAAGCACGTGCCGTCCTTATAATCAGAAACAAATTTTTTATTAAAGGGGTAGAAAACAATTAACCATTATATATAGTTTGGGTCACTATATATGTATGTATATTTATTCACATGAAACATATTTTAGATTCAGATTTCAGAGCAGTCTTGGATCACAGAATCCAGGGGACCTTCTATCTTTAGTCCAAGGGGACTCCCTATAAGTCTCAAGAAATGAATTACCAACTCCCCTCTCCAGGGGGTTCCACACTTTCTAGGTCAGTGGTTTGCAGCCCTGGCCACATGTAAGAATCACCAGAGAAGTTATAAAAAATCCTGATGCCCAGACCAATTAAATAGGGCCTCAGCGGGTGGGACCCAAGCATCCATACTTTCCAAGTTCCCAGATGATTCCAATGAGCAGCTAAGGCTGAGAAGCACTAACAAATGGTATAACTTCAGACACCTTTATCAAAGCAACATTCAGGGAGGAAGATGCCTTCAAAAATAATTACCCCTATTCAGTTCTTCTTTTCAGGGTGCTATTGTTTTGTCATTAAAATCCTGAACAGAGACATGCCTCTGCTTTATGAAAAATTCAACAGTTAAGACTGCAAACATAACTATGGAGATCAATTAGTGGGCAACTCTTCACATTGTGAAGGGTTCTTTATAAAAGGATTCACCTCACATTGCCTCTAACCTTCAATACACGTGTACTGAGAGCCACCTGGGAGCTCAACACAGGGCTAAACTCTGGGAGGATTGCAACAGTAGATTTCATTCAGCTTTGACATACAAGCAAGTTAGGGAGGTAAACTATGTCCCTCACTCTGGGTTTATCCAAGTGTGTTCAGCTAGGGAACTGACTTTAAGATAATGATGATATGATACAGATTCCTTGGTCCCATTCCAGACCCACTGAAATGGAATCCTGCAAGGGAAGACAAGATTCCAGAATTTAAACAACTGCCTCGAAAGCTACTTAATGTTTGAGAAGCAGCATTCTAAATGAAGTGTGCCCCTGGTATGTTTGCTTTATGTTTTCCCCCCGCAGAAAATTGGCCAGAAACAAATCTTAAAGATTCTCCAAAGGAGACCAGTGGGGAGAGGCAGGTGAGACAGGATGGTGAGAAAGGAAGTTAACTCAGAGCAATGAGCATCACAACATTCATCACAACAATGTCACAAACATTCCAGGCCATCAGAAAAAGATGGGGAGGGTGGTCCAAACAGTCATAGTGGTGGCATGGGCAGGTACACACTGCTTTGTAACCAAAACTAGCACCAAAAACACTGCCACCCTTGTTTTGAAAACCCTGGCACCTGGGTGAGCATAAATGCAGCTGGGGTGCTGGGTGCCAGGGCAAACACACAATGAGAAAGCTGCTCCACAGGAGAGCCTTGCTTCCTGCAAGGAAATCTGCCTGGCATGTTGGCTGGCTGCTGTTCTGCCACTAGCTCTGGGGCTTGCCAGGGACCCTCTCCAGGTGAGGTCCTTTGGGAAGCCTGCTGGCTGGAAAACCACACACAAGGGACTTCAGAGAAGAGAGTGTTGGAAGGAGGTTCCAGGCACCCTCCTAGTTTCTGTAGAAGGTGAAGCTCGGCATTGCTCACAGATGCTTGGCCTCACCTCACCTTG